TTAAATACGTTAATACCCTATGGATTATGAACAGTTTTGCCTGTAGAGTCAAGTATAGATGTGATGATTGCCGTTTCTTTTTTACATTGTAGTTAATTCATTCAGTGCTTTGTGGAATTCTTCCAGAGTGGTGGGGGCATCTACGTTATTGGTTTGTTCTCTTGATAGTGTTGGTAATTTTATATTGTTTAGGAAAGTATCTATTTCAGAAGGGTTTGGTTCGTGATCAGAGGTGTATAGTTTGCTATAAAATGCCTTAAATACGTTGTTAATATCCTGTGGATTATGAACAGTTTTGCCTGTAGAGTCAAGTATAGATGTGATGATTGCCTTTTCTTTTTTACATTGTTTTTTTACATTGTAGTTAATTCACCAAATATTTACCTGTTTTGTTACTATATTGAAACTGTTTGTATTTGAGTTGTTGGATTAGGAATTGTGTTTTTTTGTGTATAATACTTTCAAGTTGAGTTTTGAGGTGGGTCAACTCATTCTGTATTTGTTCAGTAGGGTTATTTGAATATGATTCTGTCAGTTGTTTTATCTTTAGTTCCAAATTGTTTTTCAATTCTTGTTGTTTTTTCTTGTACGAGGAGTATGATATTATTTTTCCTCTAATTACTGCTTTTCCTGTTTCCCATAGCGGAGAAGGTGAGGTTCCTGGAGAGTCATTCATCTCCAGAAAGAATGCCCACTCTTTTTTTAATATAAATGTCAAAGTCCACATCTTGAAGCAATGGTGTGTTAAAGTACCATCTGTTAAAGGGGTTAATAGGGATTTGAGTATTTAATTTGAGCGAGATTGAAGCGTGGTCCTGATTATGATTGAATTGTGGTTTCTGTTACATATTGGGTTAGTGAATTACTTATGAGAAAGAGGTCGATTTGCAATAATGACTGATGGAGGGAGGAAAGATGTGTATATTCTCTAGAAGAAGGGCTATTCATTCTCCAACTATCGCCAAGGCCATAATGGTTCATATATTGTTTTATGACTTCTGTAGAATGCCAGTTTCTTGTGTCGGTGGAGGAGTTGGATCGACCATTTCTAGGGTCTATAACAGTGTTAAAGTCTCCAGCAATAATAATGTTTGTAAAGTCGTGCAGAAAAGAGAAAAGATTTTGGAAAAAAGATGGGTCATCATTATTAGGGCCATAAATGTTGGCTGTTGTGTGGTTAATCAAAACATTAACAATGATAAATCTACCTTCTGGGTCAATGATGGATGTGTTATGGACCAGTCAGATACTTTTATTAATTAGAATTGAGACACATTGCTGCCTGCTATTGTATGTTGATGAGAATAGTTAGTTAAATTGTTTAAATGTGAGGTTTTGTGATTCAGCATTTGTTAGGTGAGTTTCCTGTAAGAAGCATATATCTGCCTTTAATTTCATCAGGTGGCTAATGATCTTAATCCTTTTGGCCTGGGTCCGGAAGCCTCGCACATTCCATGATACTAATTTGAGTGACTCTATGATTGTTTGTTAAAAATTCTTTTTGAATATGAAATAGAGTATTCTGAAGAGAGAGATATTGGGGGGGGGCTGGGAACAATAAAAAGTAAATAACGATGTAGAGTCGGTGTGTGTGCATGTGTGTGAATGTAGGTGTTTGTTAGCTGAGGACAACTGAAAATAAAACTGTCAAATTTAAAATGGGAGGTAAAAATAAAGGGGAAAAAAACAACAAAGACCAAAAACAAAGCAAAACAAACAAACAAAAAAGCTGACAAATGCACATACCAACAAACATAATGCAACAGAAATGGTAACAAAGCAGCATCCAGGCCAGAGATGTTTGTAGTAGGGCGTGTGAGATATTTTTATGTGTGTGTATTTACGTGGCGAGAATGCTGGTCGGATATTATTTAATATAAGAATCAACAGTCACTGGTTGTTAGATGTAATGTGGGAGATCAGAAGAGCCATGGAGTGACGTTGGAGTCTTGGTACAGCTGTCCTTCAATGAGTAATTTGTCCACAACGATGTTTGCTCATTTATTGTTTTGTCTGTGTTGTTTCATAATGGGGTAGAGAGTTTTGCGCCGTTCGTTAATTTCCCGTGGGAATTGGTCGCTGAGTCTGTAATGTGTGCCTTTCTGTTCTTTTCCTTTGCTATTGATGAGTTCTTTATGTTTGTAATGTTCCAGTGTTTTGCTTGAACGTGATCCGAGGCGGTGTACACGGTTTAAGGTGATCGTGTTGACTGTCCGGTGTGATTTTTAGTCGGTTCTTCATAAAGTCCTTAATCAGTGCTTCAGGGTTGTCGGGTGATTGTTCTAGAATGCCGGTAAAAATCAGGTTATCGGGAATGTTTCTAGTTTGAATGTCCAGTATCATTTCTTTCATCACTTTGTTGTCTTTCATCACGGAGTCCATTTTGTCGCTGAGGGTTTTGACGGATATTTGGAGAGAGTTGTTTGACTGCTCTAACTTTTCAATGTAATTGTGAGCGAATTCAAGGCTTTTATTTCCTCATGAAGTGTGACCAATAAATCAAGTTTCTTATTGATGGATGCAAGAACACTGACCTCAATGTCTGTCGTCTGTAGATCGCTTGTATCTGTAGCAGAGGTCTTTTTCCGTTTGTTTGGTTTTGGTGTGTCTTGTTGGTTTGTACTGGCGGTATCCATACTGCAGTGAATGTAGTATTGGTCAATGAATGATTCCAGGTCCGATAAATCCTCCAGTATGTGAAAGGTCCATTGTGGTTATTGGCAGCAGCTTGTGATTCCGATGGATTGCTCGTGTAATACCCATAACGGGTTATAAAGTCCAGCCTGTTTGTTTCAGTCTTTGTCTGTAAGCTTGATATAAGAACAAAGAAATGTGGTCCAAGCATCCAAGGTGGGGGCGGGGTGTGGCCCTGTATCCACCCCATATGTTACTGTAAACATGATCCAGAGTGTTCTTGCCCCGGGTGGGAATGTTCACACGTTGGTAGTATTTGGGGAGTACAGTCCGTAAATTGCACTGGTTAAAGTCGCCTGCAGCGATAAATACACCATCGGGGTGAGCTGTCTCTAGCGCACTGGAATCGTAGAGTTTGCTGAGAGCTGCAGAGGGATTAGCTCTTGGCCTAATATACACAGCAGCCAGAAACATAGCACTATGCTCTCTTGCTAGATAATAGGGCTGGCATTTCAGCAATAAAAACTCTACGTCTGGCGAACAGTGCTTATAAACAGTCCGTCCATCTCCACACCTCCTTTTACCTTCCCTGAAGCAGCAGTGCGATCACCTCAATGTAGAGTGTGTGTTTGTAGCTGAATCGCGGAGTCTGGAACTCTGTCAGAAAGCCAAGTCTCAGTGAGAATTGGAACACAGCATTCTTTGATTTCTTATTGTGCTGTAATCCTAGCCCTTAGCTTGTCCAGTTTGTTTTTCAGAGACTGTACGTTAGCTAGGAAGAGGCTGGATAATGGTGGTCGAGTAGCGCAAGCTTTTAGCCTAGCATGGAGTACCCCACGCTTGCGTCTCTGTCGCTCTCCTGATTTCAGCCTGCTCACTTGTGCCTGGTGCTCCGGGGTCTCCCTGAGGGTGATGGTGGTTGTTGTCGTTGTCGTTGTTGTTGTTGTAGTGGGAGCTGACAATGAGTTGTAGCTCTGGTGGTATGAAACCAGTAAATTCCCAGTGGCTTTGTGAGTTGGCGATATCCAGCAATGCCTGTCTGTTTTATGTTAACAGTGCATGGCATTTGTGCACTGCAGAAAAAGTAACAAAAAAGAAGAAAACGAAGAAAAAGCCGGCATTCGAGAGTGGAACGCGCAAACACGTCCGCCTCGGTGGGCGCCATGTTTTTTAGCAAGGTTGTTGCACAGGTTGTCATTTTTTTGTGTGAGGTCTAATATTTTTGACAAATTTTGTTACGCATTCTTAAAGCAATTCTGCTTAATGCTAATCTGTTCACCTCACCACAGGTCCATGCTCTGAACATCCTTAGGGCTCTTTACAGGGACACCCGTCTGGGGGAAAACATCATCCCCTTTGTCTCAGATGGAGTGCAGGCTGCTGTCCTGGGCTTCACCTCCCCTGTCTGGGCAGTGAGTTTCAGCTTTCTTCTTTAGTTAATACATCATCTCTAACATGTATCCCAGCATACAATCTTGTGAAGCAGATTTAGGAAGGTGTTTCTGACATCTTGTCAACTCCATTTCATTATATCATCACAGTAGCCTCCAAAATGACCATAAAGTTGAATCAACACCTCTCTAAAAGTTTCAAGAATAATCAGAATATGATAACCTTGTACACAGGCAGAATTTACTGCACTTGTATTGGATGTTATTAATTTTAGCCAGAGTATGCCCTTTGGACTTTAGTGTGCATCCAAGGCAGAAATTTACTACTCTCTAATTTCTCCTCCTGTGAAACCAATGTTTGCTCTGTTGTCACTTTTAATTAACCCTCTCATGTTCGCGCTCTTTTTCTCTCTCATTGTCCTCGGTCCCCCTTTTCTCAATTTATTTTATTTGCATATTTATTTGTTTTGTTTGCAGGTGAGGAACGCCTCCACTCTTCTCTTTAGCACACTGATCACAAGGATTTTCGGCGTGAAGAAAGGAAAGGATGAACACTCAAAAAAAAACAGGTCTGTTTCTACTCCCTCAAATGCTGCTCTGGCAGTTTAAAGTTGTATATCAGTGCAGAATGAAATTTAGATTCGCAGCTAGTCTGTCTAGGATAGACAGCCAGTTTACAAGAAAGCAAACAATTTAAAATCCAAAACAAATTTTTTGGCTTCAAAAAACCAAGGTAACTAAAACCATGTGTTCAAGCAGTTATTATTTTACACCACCGCGGGGCACTGTTGTACCACTATGCTGGCTGAATTGCAGTTACCTCTGCTGACTATTGATGTTGCTTGTGTAGGTGCAGGTCTCCAGCAACT